TCCTACGGAGCCACCCTAGTGTGTGCTGGTAAAATGTGCAAAGCAACCCACTCCCCTGCTCAATACTCCTCCTTCCTCCCTCTGTCCTTCTCCAAGCTAGTAGATGCTGCTGGAGTCTGCTCTATCCCTTGTGATCTTGTACTGGACAGGAAGTTCAGGGAAGGTGAATAGAGAGAGTTGGAGCTTTTCAGAAACATGATGACTGGAAGTGTTAGGGTAAGAAAGTAAAGAAATACTTTGCTGGGCAATGTATATTTGTCTGATTTGGATTCATTGGTGAAAAAGGTTCGGAGTTCAGTACTACTCTAAATCTGGACTGCAGGTAGATACACGACACACATTTATGAAGCCCTTTCATTCATTTAATATTAATTTTGATTTGAAGAGAACACTGCATCAGTCTGAGGTCATGTCAGTCATCACGTCAAATACAGTGTATAGGATAGCAGGAGAGAGTGACAGAGAGATGAGATCATCAGCCTGCTGCTTCTCCTTTCACTGCCAGTAACAGGCTGGGGGGAGGAAGAGGACTACAAAACTCAGCAATACACTTTTAGATTGTAAGCCCTCGGGGCAAGGCCCTCCTTACCATCTTGTCTTGAATTGCATTTCAATTGTAATGTCTTCCTAAGTTCCTTGTATTGTAAAGCGCTGTGCAAACTGTTGGCGCTATATAAATCCTGTATAATAACTAGGGATGCACCGATACCGGTATTTTGGTACCGAGTACCGATCATTTTTTTCCGGTATTCGCCGATACCAATTACTGAGTAACGGAAGTCCCATTCAGGAAGCTAGGGGGCGTGTAAAGACTCTCCACCCGGCTTCCCGATTAACAAGAAAGTCCCATCTTACCTTAGTATGTCCAGCCTGTCACCCCCGAGGCCTCTGCAGCCAGAACGTGGCCTTCCTCTGGTACCCAGCCGGAGCCGTCCAATCAGGAAGCCGGCGAGGGAGCATGAAGCCAGCTTCCCGGCCAACCAGAATGCCGGGCGCTGCGTCATTACACGGCGCCCTGCTTTCTGATTGGCCAGCTTCCCGACCAATCAGGAAGCCGAGCAGCGCGTCATTCCGCGCTGCCCGGTTTCCCGATTGGCCGGGAAGTCGGCTCCATGCTCATGCACAAGTGACGAGATAGCATGGAGCCGGTTCCCGGCCAATCAGGAAACCGTGCAGCGTGTAATGACGCGCTGCCCGGCTTCCTGATACAGGAAGTACTCATGCTTGGTATCGGCACTGATATCGATACTAGTATCGGTATTGGTGCATCCCTAATAATAAGGTAATGCAGAATACCATCAGCTATAGAGGACTACAAATCTTAGAAATACATTATACAGCAATGCAGAATGGCACCATCTATAGTGGACTACAAATCCAAGCAAAACTTGATACAGAAATGAAGAATACCCCCAGCTATAGAGGACTACAAGTCCCAGCAATACATTATACTGCAATGTGGAATAATACAATCAGCTATAAAGGACTACAAATCCCAGCAACACATTATACAGCAATGCAGAATAATACCATCAGCTGTAGAGGACTACAAATCCCAGAAACACATTATACAGCAATGCAGAATAATACCAGCAGCTGTAGAGGACTACAAGTCCCAGCAATACATTATACAGCAATGCAGAATAACATGTTGCTACATACTCTGTGCTGCTCCAGAATGCTGGCCTGATATCAGTGGCAGAGGGTCTCAGGAGGGGGGAGATGTACAGGTGGCGGAAGTGCTATAAGCAGATGCCACATGCTTTCCAAGAAGGCTGCCGAGGTCCCCAGCAAGTGCTGGACTTAAGACAGACGCTTTCATTTGCACCATTATCAGTTTTTAGTATCAGGGCATTTTCGTGAATACAAGTACTGGTAAAAATGGCCAGTACAGGCACCGATACCGATACCAATGCATCCCTACTGTATAGGAATCCTATGGGAGTTTCAGCCCGGCACCAATAAAAGATCAATTCCGGGAGGACTGATCCTTCTTAAATCACATAAAAACGATGGAGAACAAAATATTTAGGAAGTGAGCGGAAAGATAAATTCAGCTTTCTGGGGTCTGAGGTTTCTTATCAAATCAGAATACGGAAAAGTAAATCAGGAACAGTGTAAATTAAAGTGGAACTCCTCAATGGGGCCCCAGACAGCCATGAAAACCCAACAAAGGCTCTAATCCTTCAAAGCTCAGTTTTTGGCTCCATGTTGATCTGCGCGCCTTCTGATAATCAGACCCCTGATCGAGATTCTCAGTCCCCTCCTAATACACAGGCGGCCATCCATATCTCTTCCTGTATTATAGGACGCAGGGCAGGCACCGCTCCTACTAAGCGTACAACAACGTCTCTCGTTTTGTTTCTTATGTATAGAACTCAGAGCCTAGAAAGCTGTATCAACACACCGCATTACATAACCGCACACACATAGGTCAGGACAATGACCATTCGTTTCCTGCTCAGAGCTACATAAGTAGCGGAATTTTTCGAGGAATTGCTTCTAGGTAGGAAATCAATGGGCTCATTCAGTAATGCAGAGCAAGGAGCACCAGACACGATCGGCCTTTTCTACCGCGGAACCGATAACTCTTTTATAAACAGGAAATAGAATGTACGGCTTGAAAACCTAAAAGAGACATTAAGTAGATTTGGGGCAAAGTGAGTATCTGTGTAATGGCACCCCTCCCCCAACCCACGGATACCTCCCCAATGGCCCCTGGTTTTCTTTTCTCCACTGCAGCCACTATGCCCAGTTTTATCTGATATCGGGGAATAAAGGAAGCAGAGATCCCCGCCTTCATCATGTGACTCGGACATAGCGACTGGCCGCTGGGCACTATAGTCGCTTCACACCCGGAAGCACTGGCTGTGGCAGAGAGAGGGTGGCAAGGGATCACTGGAGTGGTATCAGTTAGTAGATGCAGCCTAAATGTGACAGCTTCCCGTTCATTGGTTGCTAGGACAGCAGGCCGCCGGTGTCCTAGCAACCAATTATCCATTCCCAATCCGATTTAGCTGTCAAGTGGGTGAATCCCCAGCTGGCAGCTGGACATAAACAAAGGGACTGGGGATGATGGGTGACATCATGATCCCGGCCCCTTTGTTTGCAATTAGCTGTCAGACGTGGAATCTTCCTGCCAGCAGCTGAATGGGCCCTGGGATTAGTTGCTGGTTGCCAAGACACTGTCGGCTGCACAGCCGACAGTCTCTTAGCACCCAAGGATGTGGCTGAGTGGGCGGAGCCTGATGAGTTAGCTGAGGGACAAGTTCCCTATTAGGTCTGCCTCCCCTGCCATTAGCTATAGAACCCACCCACTGACTGATGTCAATCAACAGCAGAGCGTACCTGATGAGGAACATGAGAAAATGGAGCATCCCTATCAGGGACAGACTGAGAGAAGCAGTGGGCAAGGGCTTATACTGTGGGTGGGGGCGGAGCCTAATGGGGATGCTAAGTGGCTAGTTGCACATCAGGTTCGTCTTCCCTGTGACCGACAGCGAGTGGATTCCATTGCCAAGAACCAGCCTGCTTTTGGCTATAGAATCTTCCCCACTGCCTCCTGAATCCCCATCAGGCTTCACCCACCCACAGTTTAAGTCATTGGCTGCTGTGCCTGTCAGTGTGGCAAGTGTAGCAGCTGGGCAGAGGGTCACAACTTTACCAGGCTCAGTTATACTGAGCTGCATTGAGGACAGAGTGTCCTGATATGGACACTCCAGCGCATTTCTACACTGCAAATGGCGGTGCCAACAGGTGCCTGAATCTGGGGCAAGCACCAAAATCCGTCATGTCAATGCACAATGGAATTTTTAACTGTGTCATAAAAACGCTTTATGAATTTCCCCCATGTAAGCTTAAACAATAAGGCAAAGAGTCAGAAGTAGAGCTCAGTGACCTTATAGCAGCTGATGGGGACTTTTTTTTTTTTTGCCAAATATTTAGAGGGCATCCAAGACACTCAGGGGGCAATTTATCAAAACTGGAGCAGATGGAAGCTTCTCTCATTGGTTTGTTTAGCTTTGAAACTGAAAGAGAAAAGCTGGCTGGTTGCCACAGGCAACTGCTCCGGGTTCTCTCTGCTCCGGGTTCGATAAATTCTCCTCTCAGTTTACAAAGATTGCTGAGCTTTCTTATTAAGCGGGCCATACACGGGTTAGACTTGGCACCCCTCCATCTGACAAAAGTTCATTTTTCCACTCAACTTTTGTCATAGAAGTCGGTTCAAAAAGTCTCAGCCAAACGGTGACTGCAGAGAGTCCGATGAAGATTTTGAGAAGAACCACCAGCACCCCCACCCCTCCCCGACCTTGTATCCAGTCTATGGGGGTTATACTGTGTTACATTGTATCCGGTCTATGGGGGTTATACTGTGTTACATTGTATCCGGTCTAGGGGGGTTATACTGTGTTACATTGTATCCGGTCTATGGGGGTTATACTGTGTTACATTGTATCCAGTCTACGGGGGTTACATTGTATCCGGTCTATGGGGGTTATACTGGGTTACATTGTATCCAGTCTACGGGGTTATACTGTAACATTGTATCCGGTCTATGGGGTTTATACTGTGTTACATTGTATCCAGTCTACGTGGGTTACATTGTATCCGGTCTATGGGGGTTACATTGTATCCAGTCTACGGGGTTATACTGTTACATTGTATCCAGTCTATGGGGGGTTATACTGTGTTACATTGTATCCAGTCTACGGGGGTTACATTGTATCAGCCCCGCTATCACAATAACAATATTGTGTACATCCTTCTCACACAGCCTCCCCGAACACCCTCCCCGCCAGCTGATTGGTCCGCGCCATGCATTCTTTCTCTCATCCCCGCCCACATGCTTGACACTCGTCCCCGATTGGCATAAGGCGATGTTTGTCCAAGACGCCCCGCCCCCGTCTCTCCCGCACAGAGGCCAAACGGAGAAGAATTCCCGACCGCCGCCTCACACAGCCGCCATTACCCGGTGCGAGCGAGAACCGCGTCCGACTCACCGTGCAAGGCGGGCTCTTCCCCGTTATTGTTGTCGGACATGACGGCGACAGGCTTGTGTCTGCTGGGGAGACGGAGCCGCACTGCGTAGCCACACCCCGCCCCACGTCACTCCACATCATCACCTGAGGTGCGGGAGGCGGGGGCTAGCCGGTCACGTGATGCTTCCAAACAAACTTTTAACTCCTTAGCAGCCTGGGCAGCAGGACGGAGACCCGGCGCGAGAGGAAAATGCCGGGCGCCTGGCTGTCATTTGAATATAGAGATATGCAGACCATTGCCGACCTCCCCTAGAAAATACTACTTGACTGTCTGCCTCTGATTTTTTTTTCTCAGAGTCCTGCAACAGCGAACAGACTTGTTTCTTGTCAGAGGCTCGGTCAATGGGTCACCATGACGACCTAACAGGAAGTCAATGGGTTGCCATAACAACCAGGCAATTCCAATTTCAGTCAGATTTCTCTGTGTCAGTTTTCCATGAAGGGACCCGGTAAAAAAAAAAAAATATATATCCTCGACAGCCTCTTAACCACTTGCGGACCGCGGTGTTAAACCCTCTTCCTGTCCCGGCCATTTTTCAGTATTCAGCGCTGTGGTACTTTGACTGACATTTATTCCGTCATGCAACGCTGTACTTAAATACATTTTATACCCTTTTTTGGGGACACATAGAGCTTTCTTTTGGTGGTATTTAATCACCACTGGGTTTTTAAAAAAAATATTTTACTATATTAAGGAAAAATTACCGAACATTACAAAAAAAAAAACTGTTCCCCTATATTAAATTATAAAACATTTATATTTACCCAATCTTTGGGTAAAATATAAAAGACGGGTTCACGTCGGGTAAATAGACACCAAACATGTCAAGCCCTAAAATTGCAGGCACGCGCGAAACCTCAAAAAAGCACCATGCCCAAAATTGGTCATAGGCGACGCTGTAAAAGCTTTTACCGCTCATCAGTCTTGTGTTCTCAGTGATTGATGGCCCGAGAATGATTGCTCTCACTGCGACGATCGCAGCGACCCTGTAAACTGACTCCCAGCGGCCACAGCCTCCGGGACCCTTTTTAGAAGCGATTCTAGCGCCTAAGCTGCTGCCAGATCACTTCCCAGGGTTGTTAAAAGTGGTGTCCTCCCTCCCCTAAACTTCCCGGGCTCCGCTGCCCCTACTGCAGGCCCAAGACTGGCTTCTTGGGTTCGCTGATCTCCACCTTGCTGGATGAAGCCGGAAGCGGCGATGATGTCATCACATTCAGTGTCTGAGCTGTCATCATGCAGCTAGAGAAGCCGGGAGGAAGCCGTTCATACACAATCTGTGCTTCATCAGCTTCACTGAAGTGCAAAGGTGACATTAGGGGTCTAATAGACATCTGATGTCACATGGAAAACTACCCGTCACCGCCAATGTGCACATATTAGTGTAGGGAGTTGTGCTAATATCATGCAACTTAAAACTGTGCAACTGCCGCCATTTTATTCTACAGGGTCTCTGCTCGCAGGAAATATATCATTCTGGGGGAGGGAGGTGTGAAGTTTTTTTCACTTAACTTTATTGCTATCACACAGGGGCTAACAAGGTTTGCAGGTGATAGGCTCTCGTTATGGAGACATTAGGGGTCTATTAGACTCCTGATGTCTCTTCTGCCCTCCGATACAGACAATCAAGCACAGGAATGTGTGACCAGCCATTCAGTCAGCTTCTGACAGCTCTAAAGCAGGAGGCGCAGAGAGCACACCACTTCCTGTTCCATTAATCACAGAGCAGATTGGGGAAATGGATGTTCCTTGGTCTGCTCCCGCTCTCCATCCTGAGATGCTGTTTGCATTGACTGCAATTGATCTGCTGTACACATCCCTTGTTCTGAACAAGTTTTGCCTGCTGGCAAAAAAATACCAGGATTACTGCTGTAGCCGTCATGATCTTGGTATAACCACTTCAGGATGAGGATGTATATATATTGTTCATACTCTCCTAAATGTATAAATTATATTTTTCTAATCAATAAAGTAAGCCATTTGGCTGATTAATTATCTAATTGTGGTTGGAGTTGTTATGGAAATTCACTTGGTTCAACGCACAAATCCATGTCGCATTAAGCTATGCTAAAACAGCTTCAACTCTTCTCAACTCTTCTGGGAAGGCGTCCACAAGGTTTAGGAGTGTGTATGGGAATGTTGGACCATTGGTGAGGTCAGGTACTGATGTTGGACGAGAAGGCCGGGCTCGCAGTCTCCGCTCTAATTTATCCCAAAGGTGTTCTATCGGGTTGAGGTCAGGACTCTGTGTAGGCCAGTCAAGTTCCTTCACCCCAAGCTCCCTCATCCATGTCTGTATGGACCTTGCTTTGTGCACTGGTGCGCAGTCATGTTGGAACAGGAAGGGGCCATCCCCAAACTGTTCCCACAAAGTTGGGAGCATGAAATTGTCCAAAATGTCTTGGTATGTTGCAAGTATTGCATGGATGCTGGTACTGAACAACCCCTGTGAGAGTATCCAAGGAGGATGTGTGAACTTTCGTTTAAATAAAAGTGGGCTACCAGGCCCTTAAACAGAAGGTATTGCGGGTGGTCTGTCCCCTTACAGAGCTCACCATATGTGCTAATATCCCTAAATATCACAGGGCATTTAGGAATTAAACTCGCATATGAAATCTGTCGCTATAAGTACTAGAAATCAGGGATACAGTTTAAAAGATGCTGATGATGTGAACACATGTGTGTGACTCTGTATGGCCAACCATAAGGTGCCCACACACCTTGCGATAATCGTACGATAATCGCGGGAAAGCCGTGCGACCTCTACTACTGCAAGGTCGCAGGACTTTTATCTTACGAAGATGTTCGAAAACCCGCCGAGAATCGTACGATGTTCGGCGGGTGTGTAGCATGTTCATAAGATAAAAGCCGGACGGGCCGGTGTGCGCAAGCGCACACTGCCCGTTCGGCATTGCGGTCATCGGAAGCCCGCCCCTCAGCATGCCGATACCAATTACAGATGCTTTTTCTTAAAGGAACATGTGACATTTTTTCTAAAACAATACATACTGATGATTTCTGAACAGTTTCTCACCAAGCTGCGTACAGATGTCACCAGGGCCGCGTTTGCGCCTCACCAGGGCTGCACACAGATCTCATCAGGGGTGCGTTTGCGTCTCGCTAGGGCTGAGTTTGCATCTCACCAGGCTCCGCAGAGATCTCACCAAGGCAGCATTTGCATCTCACCGGGGCAGTGTACAGATATCTCCAGACTGCATGTGGGGCTCTGCGGATGGGCTCTGTGCCTGCGCCTGGAAGGAGGAGAAGGAGATATGTGACCGGACAGGCACTGCCAAGGACAGCTACCGCCAGGTCCCCAGCTAGCTGCTGAGGTCCCCACAAGCGCGGGACCTTGGCAGCCGATCCGTTTTAAAAAGGTAAAAGGCCGGTATCGGCCTTTGGTATCGGGGCAATTCTCAAGAGTACAAGTACTCCTGAAAATGCCCATAGATAGATATAGTGATGAAAATAATGATTTGCTCCCCTGCAGATTTTGTAAGTTTGACCACTTACAAAGAAATGAAAGCTTGGTGAGAATGAAACAACTGTTGGAGCGATTATTCGCTAATGGAAGGAATACAAAATAACCATCAAATCGCCCTCGGTCTGGAGCTCCATGCAAGATTTCGTCCTGATGGGGTAAGGATGATCATGAGAAAAGTGAGGGATCAGCCCAGAACTACATGGGAGGAGCTTGTGAATGATCTCAAGGCAGTTGGGACCACAGTCACCAAACAAACCATTGGTAACACAATACACCGCCATGGATTGAGATCCTGCAGCGGCAGCAAGGTCCCCCTCCTCAAGAAGGCCCATGTACAGGCCAGTCTGAAGTTTGCCAATGAGTAGCTAAATGATTCAGAGAAGGATTGGGAGAAAGTGCTGCGGTCAGATGAAACCAAAATTGAGCTCTTTGGCATTATCTCGACTCACCGTATTTGGATCACTGACTGCTTGCACCCGCTCTCCTTCCTGCCACGCTGTCACAGGAGGCTGGGCGAGCGGTGCGAGAGCTCAGCCTCCTGTGACAGCACTGACAGCTGTCTCCGCCCACACCGCCGCTCTCCTGATGTGTGACAAACGGCTGGGCGTTGTGAGAGGAGAGACGCCGGTCGCTCACAGCTCTCCTCCCGTACTGCTCGGCCTCCTGTGACAGTGTCTCTCCTCCCTCCTGGGGCACAGAGCTGCGCCCAGTGGGGAGGAGAGAAAGAACGGCTGCACCACTATTTTGTGCCGAAAAATTGCACTTTCGGCATTTTGACAAAAGTGCAATTTTCGGCCGAGATTTCGGTGCATCCCTATTCAAAAGCTGTGTGCAAGTGTACCTAGAAGAAGGCAAAGAGTGGTGACACCAAATATTGATTGGATTTGGATTTCTCTTCTGTTCATTTACTTTCCATTCTGTTCATTGATAAAAAAATAAACTCAACACTTTTATTTCTGAAATCATTCTCACTTCACAGCATTATTTCACAACTGACTAAAACCTTCTGCACAGTACTGTATATATAGAACAAGATCAGTCCAAAGGTTGCAGCACTCAAAAGTAGTATATTGAAACAAAGTAATTATTGCAGTAATGGAAACACTTCCGAATACTTGATTTGTGTTTCAATAAACCACCTTGGAGTGCTGCAACCTTTGGACTGATCTTGTTCTATATCGTGGATCTGTGGGAAGGCCTTGTTGTACAGCACACTCCGGGCATGGTTCACCCTGGCGATATGCCACATGTGTGGCACAATGTGTAACATGTAGTGTCTGCTTTCAGAAAATATATCATTCGGGGACGGGGTTTCTAATCTTCAGGCCTGCATGGGCAGCAAATGGGTTAAAATGGAACTCTACTATTTACCCCGATATATACACTATATTACCAACAGTATTGGGACACTCCTCCAGATCATTGGATTCAGGTGTTCCATGAAATTTCCTTGCTACTAAATATTCCGCGGTCAATTGTTAGTGGTATTATCTCAGCCACAAAGTGGTAGGCCATGTAAAATGACAGAGCGGGGTCAGCGCATGCTGAAGCGCACAGTGCGCAGAAGTCGCCAACTGTCTGCAGAGTCAATAGCT